TCAAGAAGATGCTCTGCTCAACTCTCCACACTCGGGAAGAACAGGAACGGAGGCAACCAATGGGTTGATGAACGCCTTCAGTGAAGCCAGTCTCCCAAGGGATCATAGATCCCACGCGGCCCCCACAAGGCCTTACAAGAACATGTTTGCGTGAAGGGAACAGCGTGTGTTGAGGAGTTTGTGTTCGGGATGGAGGGGTCATGCTCATGCCCTACCAAAAACATTTATTTTATTGTTGCAGCTGTTCTGCAAAGATTCAATTCCAGAGTTAATTCCGCCTGGGTGCCACTTAGTGTTTCCTGGCTTTGCGCGGAAGAACTGACTGATTTCCGCCCTGGTCCAAACCTTGTTTGAGCAGCAAGTTGCGCAGACGGACATCCACCAAAAAAACACACTGTAAGCGAATCTATCTCAACATCAAAGTTTTTATCCGCCTGTTCCACGCGATGGCTTTAAAGAGACTGTATTAACTCTCCCTGGTCCGAACCTTTCTAATTTTTCCCGAAAATCTTGCAACAGAATTAGATCAGAAGCAATCTCTTCAGATGTGCGCATGTCAACCAATGTGTTCTTAACAAGAACTGGCTTAATTCATCTTAATCACGAAAGCTAGCTGTAGCTAGCTGGAGTCTGTCTTGCTTTAGCAAGGAGGGTGGGAGCCCAGGACCTGAGCGCTGTTACCTGATAAATAGTCCTGAATAACCCCCCCTCGCGGGGTTCAACTCCACCCTTCTCCTCGGTACCTGCTGCTGCTGCTTGGTCGCTGCTGCTGCTGCTGGCATCTCATCTGCGCCTGGCTCTTGGCTGCTTGCTGGTTGCTGCTGCTTGCTGCTTGCATGCTTGGTGCTGCTGGATGCTGGCTGCCTGCTGCTTGTTGTCTGCTCCGTTTTGCTGCTGTTGCTGTTTGGGGTTGTTGGCTGCTGTTGGTGCTGAAGAAAGCCTATTCGTTAGAATCGAGAGTAGTTGCATTCCCTCTGGGTCGTTGAGTCGTGAAACGATGCTAATTTCATTATATCCTTAAGAAGCTTGCACAGGCATGTACCCACCCCACAACCCCCAAGAGTACAAATCAGAATGCACTATCCGCTATCCATGCAGATCAAAGGATGATACTTACTACACACATGAATGACAGAACCCAGTAAGATATTTGAACGGGCTGTTTGCTTCACTCATGGTAGCCCGCGTTCCATGTTCGAGCGACAGGGAGCATGCGTTGCGACGGAGTCTTCGGTCGCTGACACATGTTCGCACGCAACCCCTAGATGTCAATCATGCACACCGCTGCTGGCTGCATCGTCAGCATTTATTCGTGAAAAAACAGATATATCTGTCTTTCCACGTCGCCCTTCTACAATTACTCAGGCAGCGCCTATATGTGCTATTGTTCGAGACCAAATGTTGGGGCACGAAAGACTCTAAGGAAAGCTCACTCTTTCCCTGCTGCTGCTGCTTGGTAGCCGGTGGTGCTGCTTGGTAGCTGGTGGTGCTGCTTGGTAGCTGCTGCTGCTGCTGCTGCTGCTTGGTAGCTGCTGCTGCTGCTGCTGCTGCTTAGTAGCTGCTGCTGCTGCTGCTGCTGCTTGGTAGCTGCTCCTCCTGCTGCTGCTGCCGCTGCTGATGCTGCTGCTGCTGCTGCTTGGTGGCTGCTGCTGATGCTGCTGCTGCTAGGTAGCTGCTGCTGATGCTGCTGCTGATGCTGCTGCTGCTTGGTAGCTGCTGCTACTGCTGCTGCTGCTGCTTGGTAGCTGATGCTGCTGTTGCTTGGTAGCTGCTGCTGCTGCTGCTTGGTAGCTGGCGCTGCTGCTTGCTAGCTACTCCTGCTGCTGCTTCTGCTGCTGCTTGGTAGCTTCTGCTTGCTGCCGCTGCCGCTGCTGGTTACAGTTATTGTTGTTGTGGCTGTTGCTGCTGCTGCTGCTGCCGCTGCCGCTGCTGGTTACAGTTATTGTTGTTGTGGCTGTTGCTGCTGCTGCTGCTGCGGTTGCTGGGGTGGTTGTGTGTTGGCTGTGTTGGGGTGGTATTGGGGGGCGCTGTTGGCACTCTCCTTTTCCCTTGGCCATGGCATGTTGCGATTCCCGGCCAGGCTTTTGCTGCCTAAAGAGCCCCAGGGCCACAAGTTCTGTTGGCATCATATGTCAACTGTGTTTTTTGTATCTGGATGTGTTCGTGTTTTTTCGAACTTCCGCAGACATCCAACTCAGGAGAGTTTGCAGACCGCTTGCTGTCTGATCCTGGTGAAAAAGGCATGGAGGGTGTGTGGCGATTCTGGCAACAGGGTTTTGCCATTTGAATGGGTATGTTGGTGAAATTAATTGAGGCTTTTCGCGCTTGGCCTTGAACGTGCGGCTGTTCGCGAAGGCGGTGCGATTGTTCGACGTGAAGCCTGGGAGCTTCATTCCCTCTCCGGAGAGACAGCCGTGCGATTGTCGTTTTGGTTTTCGCGTTCCTTTTTGAACTCCTTTCTTGTTCAATTCGATTGAGGCTTTTCGGCGCTGCGCAGCCAATCAAAATTTTGTTAAGGAGATTCACTCCACGGTGATCCGCTTGGAGCCTCGAGTCCCTGCACCAGAGGCCTTCCATCGCTTTGAATCAGATTGAGTAATTGCATGGTAGACAGATTTTGTGTTGGTTGATATATACAGAGAGAAGAGGGACAGACTGATAACTGATATGCGTTTGATTTAGTGATTTCCAGGTCGACTTCAACGAGTGGGACGCATTGATCCGCGTCATCTTCTCTCGGCGGCGTAAGACTTTGAGGGCTCAGTTCAAGAAGCTGCCCGACAACCCAGAAAAAAAAATTCAGAACTTTCTTCAAAAGACTTCAGCAAAACGCAGTTTGGACAAATCCTTGAAGATCAGGATGACAAATCGAAAAGAAATGCATTTAATTGAAACGTCCACGGGCATCGATGAATGTCTACGACTTTATGGTCAGAAGATCAGGTCGACGCTAGCCATGCTGGAGCAAAACTACAAGAGACTTGTTTAGAGTGAAGCATGTAATTTTAGGCTGTTTGCTCCACCCCCAAGTCCGAACGAACTTTACATCAAGGGTCCGACTACTGACAAAGCATAGCAGCATAGCATCAAAGAAGGCTGAAGTCATGAATCTACTGTGGAATACTCGTAGCGGAACATGCTGTCCATCCTTTGTGCACAATTTTGTCAGAACCCCTGGGTGTGTTGAGGATGTGGTGCTCACTCTCTGGCACAAAGCCCTCAGCCATCCCCTTTCCGGAGCTGGTCTCATCGGCGCCAAGATGAAAAGCAACAGCAAGAAGAACGAACAGGAGTATTGCAATTGAGAAAGAAATGAGACGAGACATGAGAAAGGCATGTGTTGTGTTTGTTGTTTATAAACAATATGTATGTGTATATATATATATATGTGTGTGTCTATACATGTATGCTCAGCACCTCTGTACATTTTTTGTGCCTTATGTATTGCCGATTGCATTCGTTTTGGTTTCTTGTATGTATATATTTTCTGACCTATCAAAGTCAAAGAGGTTCCCAAGAACGATCTCATTGTTTATAAGGTGTGTTGCTTTTCATGATCCACCAGGAAATTTGTCCAATTTTAAAGGGAATTTGCGGCGACACGTTCATATATATATATATATGTGCTATTGTACCCTCCCTCAGGAAGACAATTGTGGTTTCCATCCAAAAAAATTATTTGGACTACAAGACAAATCTCCTCAGAACCTAAGAGCGACAACTTTGCTGTTTCAAGTGTTATAGATCTCCGTTGTGGAACTCAAAAGACATAGCTCTTACCAGACTATAGTATCAATCGGATGGGGCTGTAGATCTCCAAACCCCAAAGCGATACCGAACTCCGAACACCGCCAATAAATAGCAGCTTCTAAGTCCACACCGTTGGACTATGCACTAAAGGCACCCTGATATACTTGGATTTTATGCACTTCCTTAAACAGCAAAGCTCTGGGACTACCCATGAACTAGTATGACATCCCTTGTTTGCTCAGCTGTTTGTTATGAAAGTGTATGGTGGATCGTGTGACTTGGAAGGGAACTGTTTCAGAACGAGGATCTTGTGCATGTATACGTATGCAAGTCCCAAGAAAAGGTCGATTGATCCAAGATATTTGGGAAACTTGTTTGGGGTATTTTGACTCTTGAACTTAGGAGTGTTTGGCAAAACAAGAGGGATATATAGTTGTGCAACGTTGGGCAAGAACTAAATCTAAGAATTCCATGTCTTCAACCAGAAGGTCTGGGGGGATTGCCATGTATGATGTTTGGTCTCAAGCATGCCTGGCAGCATATTAAATAGTGCTTTTGGATCTTCAAGTGATCCTACTGCAGTTTTCGCTAACTTTGTCGCCAAGACTGAACCAGTTTCATGTAATGGGTTTCATGTCACTAATGAGTGTGAGTGAGCTGAAGGTGCTGAAAGAGGAGTCTATGTTGCGGGAGCGTGCTTTTGCAATGGATCTTGACGATCTGCATTTGCTGCTCAAAGCCTTCAACCGCAGAGGCCACGGAGTGGGACACTCAACGACTCGCGCGGTGGGACACTGTCGAAGGTATTCACTTCGCTAGCGTTCATCAAGGTGCTGCAGAGGCCGAGGCCGGTGTCGAGGTGTGGTGCTGTGTGTTTTCGTCTCTTTGCCACTTCAGGATCTGGACTTTGCCACTTCAGGCTGTGGGGTTTGCGTAGATTTGCGCGTGTCTTTTTGGTGTCTACGTCGTATGCTTGCGAGGCAGTGGAGGAGTCGGCAGCTTCCCACAGCTCACATCGGATTTTCTGTATCCGTAAGAAAAGATGAGCGAGTCTGTCGGTAGAATCAGTTGGGTTGAAGGATTCGGACGGATTTTGGTTGAAGACAATACGAACGTGCACAGGGCGTGGTGGGTCTTTCTGAAGTGTAAACAGCACATCCATAGATGCAGTCCTTCTTTAAACACATTCCTTCTTTGCGTGTGTCTCCAGCGCATGCTTGGTCGAGCTGAAGGCTGAAGATGTGTTCCGCAGCCTTTGGCCAGATCGAGGGAAATAGCCTCGACAGCTTCACCAGTGTTCCACCTGTGGACACAGTTCCTCAAACTTCCTTCGCTCCAAATTGTCGCTTCTTTTTGCCATCGGCCATGCCGATATTTTTGCTTGTGGTAGCGGCTGCAACAGCGGTAGCAAGAGGCTCCTTGCTTTGCCCAGCTACATGCACAGCAACCGTGGATGGATCATCATGGCCATGCAGATACTACCAGAACGACTGCAAAGTTAATATTACAAGCCTAGACCCTTCTCGCGCCTTGCTGTGATTTCGAGCTTTTTTCATTATCACTGTGGAGGGATGGCCCCGAGTTCGAAGCTCATATTGAATTAGGGCACATATATATATATATAGAGATATGGTACCCCCCCCAAAAAAAACTATGTTCACCTCACTTTTGCTGGTATTTGCAATATGTTGTGTCTATTTTTGGCGGCCTTTTGGACCTTAGTTTTTGGGGTACCATATATATATATATGTATATTTTGTGCACGCACGTAGGTTGCATGACTTGTTTGTCCACTTTGGAAGGAATGCATTCAGAATGCATTCAATGCATTCAGAATGCATTCTTGATCAAAACCAAGATCCAAGATCCAAGATTCCCACAACACTCCTGGCTAAAATCTTGGATAAACCAAGATCCAAGATTCCCACAAGACTCCTGGCTAAAATCTTGGATAAACCAAGATCCAAGATCCAAGATTCCCACAAGACTCCTGGCTAAAATCTTGGATTGATACAGTGATAAAGGATGTTCCCAAATCCAAGATTTTCCACAAGACTTCTGTGCAAATC